AGGAACAGCTGGCTAGTGAGTGGTGCAGGAACAGCTGGCTAGTGCATGGTGCAGGAACAGCTGGCTAGTGAGTGGTGCAGGAACATCTGACTAGTGCACGGTGCAGGAACAGCTGGCTATTGCACAGTGCGGAAACAGCTGGCTAGTGAATGGTGCAGGAACAGCTGGCTAGTGTGTGGTGCTGGAACAGCTGGCTAGTGAATGGTGCAGGAACAGCTGGCTAGTGAATGGTGCAGAAACAGCTGGCTAGTGAGTGGTGCAGGAACAGCTGGATATCAGAGGGGTTAGAATCTCAGTCCTTACCTTAATCATATTCAAAAATTAACTCAGTTAAAACCAAAATCTAAAACTGTAAAGCACTGAAAAGAAAGCATAGGGAAGACAACAACTACAAGAAGATTTGTAGAAGTGCAACCTGATCTTCCAAAGACACTAGTATGAAAGTAAAAGGCCAGACCCAGACTGAAAGACTCTGTATCTGACAAAGGACTTATGAGCAGAATGTACACAAACTCTTACATCAAAGGAAGGCATGATGTAAGCCACCTAAGGAAGGCAGGAGAGTTAAGCAGGTCCATCACGAAGACATAAATGACCAGCACACATGTGAAAGGACATGATCAAGGAAATGCATATTTTTATAAAACACAGTAAAATAGTTAGAAAATAGTTTCTATATAAGTATATGAAAACATACAAAAGCACTTACCGTATAACCCAACTACCTCATTCCTTAGGTGTCCACCTGAAAGAAATGAAAACACTTGTTTTAAAAAAATGATTTACACATGAATGTTCCCAGCAGTTTTGTAGTGGTTTCTTTTATGTTGCTGTGACCAAAACACCTGGCAGAAATGACTTGAGGAAGGAAAGCTTTGTTTTGGCTCATGGTCTCAAAGGATCCCAGTGCATCATAGTGCAGAAGACGTGGCTGAGCTGCTCCATGGTGATGGGACTGTGGGATAGTAGCTTGTTCACATAAACACAGGCAGGAATCAGGGGAAATAGGCAAGGACCATGTTTCTTGCAGGGTTTTGTTTTTGTTTTTGTTTTCACTCTTTGCTCTTTGGGGGCCCACCACCCAGCTCCCAAATAAATACACAGAGACTTATTCTTATTTATGAATGCCTGGCTTTAGCCTGGCTTGTTTCTAGCCAGCTTTCTTAACTTAAATTATCCCATCTACCTTTTGCCTCTGGGCTTTTACCTTTCTCTATTCAATATATCTTTATTTACTTTTTACTCCATGGCTGGCTGGGTGGCTGGCCCTTGGCATCCTCCTCTCCTCCTTTTCTCATTCCTCTCTCTTCTCTCTTCTATTTATTCTCTCTGCTGGACAGCCTCACCTATCCCTCTCCTGCCCAGCTATTGGCCATTTAGCTCTTTATTAGACGATCAGGTGTTTTAGACAGGCACAGTAACACAGCTTCACAGAGTTAAACAAATGCAACATAAAAAAATACAACAAATCTTTGCATCATTAAACAAATATTCCACAGCATAAAAGAATGTAACACTTCTTTAACTAATATTCCACACTTCCTTCAGCAGAGTTGGTTGTTTTCTATTTTTGATTATATAAATGGGCACTTTTACTCATCTTTCCATAACCTTGTTGTTCATTATTGTGTCTTTTCCTAACATTTTGTCTCTAGTTGATTTATATTTCTCTAACTTAGTTCAAACTATTTTAAAGTGATATGCCACCTTCTACATAGTCTAAAGAGCTACAAGAGGGTGACAGTAATCTTGATTGTCAACTTGTTAGGATTAAGAATTAACCAGGAGAGCCTGTGTGGGACTGACCTAAGGCCTCTGCATATAATACAGTTGAGTAGCTGAGTCTTCTTGTGGGACTCCTAACAGTGGGAGCAGATACTGTCTCTGACTCTTGCCTGCTTTAGGGACCCTTTTCCTCCTACTGGGTAGCCTAATCCACCTTTAATATGAGAGGAGGTGCCTAGTCTTACAGCAACTTGACATACCATGTTTGATTGATATCCATGGGAGCCTCCGCCCCGGTTCCGAAAAGGAACAGGAGACAAGTGGATGGGGGCAGGTAGAGGGTGGGTAGGGTGCTGGAAGGAGGGGAGGAAGGGGAAACTGCAATCTGGATATCAAAGATAATAATTAATTTAAAAAGAAAAAGAATTACCCAGGAGTTTAGTGAAGTACAGCTCTGGGAGTGTCTGTGAGGGTGTTTCTAGAAACAATTACATCACAAAGGCCCTGACCTATTGTTTGGATTAACCTCTAATGGATTCATAAAGTGTTGACATTATTAAAGATAATGAATGTAGACAGGCTGGGACCCTGGTTGAAATCAGGGTGGTGCAGGCATGTCTCTCATGGTGCTGCCTTGCCTAGCTGTCCCTGGGTTCCCTTGCCTCTGCTTCCTGGCTGCCCTGATGTGAGTGAGGTTCTCAGCTCTGCCTGCTCTCTCTCCCCCACGGCGCATTGAAACTGTGAGCTAAAGTAAGTGCTCCGTCCTTTAAAACCCTCCCTCAGGTCTTCTAGCCACAGCTCTACGAAAGTTAAAGAGGCAAACAGTTTTGACCTTTTCTTTTGCTGTGTTTATTATAATATTTCCTCTGGTTTTATTTTAAATGGTCAAATGCCTGTTAAATAAATAAGGAAAGTTTTGATTTCTGTGTATTTATTACTGAATTTACTTCCCATGCTCCTCTGCTTGCTCTGAGGTCCAAGTTTCCTGCGGGTACCATCTCTTTTCAACTTAACAGCCCCCGTGTGCATTTCTTTTTCTTTTCTTTCTTTTTCGTTTTGGTTTGTTTTGGCTTTTTGAGACAGGGTTTCTCTCTGTAGCCTTGGCTGTCCTGGAACTCACTCTGTATCCCAGGCTGGCCTAGAATTCAGAGATCCACCTGCCTCTGCCTCCTGAATGCTGGGACTAAGGGTGTTTGACACCACCACCCAGCCATGTGCACTTCTTCAACTGAACAGCCCACATGCGCATTTCTTGAACTAAAGCCCACATGTTCATGTATTGAAGCACAACTGTATAAGTAACAAATTTGTTCACCTTTAATACTTCTGAAAAATCTATTATCTTTACATTTGGAGGATATTTTAACTAAAGGGATCTTTTAGCACTTTGTATATATTGGTTCTGTTATCTTTTACCTTGCATTATTTCCTATCAGATGGATCATAGTCCCTGTCTGCATATCTGTCCTCCCCTTCTCATTGCCTCTAGGACTTCTTCCTGTGGCTTTTGCCATTTTCACTCCGATGTTCTGAATGCACTGCTCTGTGTTTTCCACTCGGGGTAGGATGACCTTCCCTCTCTGACTTCTTTACCAACGCTCCTCCGAGAATGAGTCAAGGCCTTTCACTTATCTTTCTCTTCCTACTACCCATATCCAACAATTAAATTCTGACCAGTGTTAGGTTGTCATGGCAACAAATTGGTCATGTTGTTCTCAGAAATGAAAAGTGATGGCCCACTCAAACAGCTAATTTCATATTAGGAGAAAAATATAAAGAAGAAACTGCAGTTTCTTAGCTTATCTTTAAAAACCTAATTTAAAAATGTAAGTATTTTGTGGTTATTAAAATGAGTGCTTTATAGTGTCAGGATTTTTTTTCTTTTTCTTTTCGTAATTTTGTAACATGATTATCAGAGAAATGCAACTTGCCTCAGCAGTGAGAAGTTCAGCCCCCGTCACTGGCCTGATGTGTGAGGGTGTATTTGTTGGGCATATATTTTAAGTCAGAATTGATGTTGCACAGAGACAAGTATTGATAACCATTTGTGGTTTGTTTCTAACATCCAATTTTATCTTCTAAATCTACTTTATAAGATCTACAATAGAATATCAAAAAGAGTGTTTCTACAAAAAGAAACACTCAGCTTTAGACTGTGAAGAATAATCTCTGGGCCTCTAATTCCATTTCATTTAGGGAGGGATTGACATTCCATTAAGACATGTTTATTGAGAACCTACTGCATGTCAGACTTCATTAGGAACTGTGATTATGTTCTTTCATGGCTTCTGTCTTAGATAACCTACAATGTCCCAAGACAGACTGAAACAATCATCACAAAAGGAAGGAGACTACAAAGAATTAAGAGGTGATATTGTGGTATATTAGGCTGGCCTAATCTAGAGAATCCTCTACAGGAAACGGACTTTAATCTGAGACCTGAGGAAAACTGGAAGTTAGCAAATAGTCATGCAACAGAAAACATAAGAAGGATGGAACTGCCCCTTGGTTCTTGTCTTGATCACTGCTCTATTGCTGTGATAAAGAACCATGACCAAGACAACTTATTGGAGAAGCATTTAATTGGGAGCTTGCCTACAGATTTAAAAGGTTAGCCTGTGAGCATCATGATAGGAAGCAGACAGGCATGGCATGGAGCAGTGGCTGAAAGCTTTACATCCAGACCAACAGGCAGCAAGCAGAGAGAGAGTCTCAGACTGGCCTGGGTTTTTGAAAGCTTCCAAAGCCTACTCAAAGTGACACACCTGCTCTGGCAAAGCTATACCTAATCCTTCCTAAACAGTTCCCAATGCTCAGTCACTCCCTGATGACTAAGCATCTAAATATATGAGTCTATGGAGACCATTCATATTCAAACTATCACAGTTATAGTCTTCAATTATCTTCAGAAAATCTAAATTCTTTTTTTTATTCTTCTCACATATATGAGATTCTGACCACCGTTTCCCCTCCCTCCCCTCTCTTCTCCCATTCCCTTGCTTCTCTCCCCTACCTCCCCTCTCTTCCAAATCTACCCTCCCCATCCTCTGTCTCCCCTCAGAAAAGAGCGGGCCTCCCAGGGACATCAACCAAACATGGCACACTATGCTACATTAATACCAGGCACATATCATCACATCAAGGCTGGATGAGGGGGCCAAACAGGAGGAAAAGGGTCCCATAAACAGGCAAAAGAGTCAGAGACAGCCCCCCTCCCACTGTTAGGAGTCCCACAGAAACAACAAGCTACTCAGCCTTAACATATATGTAGAGGATCTAGGTCAGACTCCTACAAGTTCCCTGATCTTTGTGAGTCCCCATAAGTCCTGGTCAGTTGATTCTGTGGGCCATGTTCTCTTAGTGTCCCTGACCCCTCTGGTTCCTCCAATCCTTTCTCCCCGTCCTTCTCCAGATTCCCTGAGCTCTGCCTAATATTTGTCTGTGGGACTCTGCATCTGCTCCCAGCAGTTGCTGGATGAAGTCTCTCTGGTCTCTTTGATGAGGACTCTCCTAGGCTCTGGTCCCAGAACACTCTGCAGGCAGGACAAACTGTAGTTCTAAGGTTTTGTGGCTGGGCTGGTGTTCTAATCCTTCCGCTTGAAGCCTTGCCTGGTTACAGAAGATGGCCGGTTCAGGTTCCGTGTCCCCCATTCCTAGGATTACTCTTACGGATTCCATGGAGCTTCCATTGGGCTAGGTTTCCACCTCAGCCCGAAATGCCCCCAATTCCAGTTGTTTCTTCCAGTATTCCCCCCACATGATCCCTCCTGGTTCCAACCTCACCTGCCCCCAGTACACCCCCAAAATCTATTTTATTACACCCTTCCCAGGGAGATCCTGTGTACTCCCATAATCCCTCCTTGTTACTTAGCCTCTCAGGTCTGGGGATAGCAGCATGATTATCTTTTACTTTACAGCACTTAAAAGTGAGTACAAACCATGTTTGTCTTTCTGGGTCTCGGTTACCTCACTCAGGATGATGTTTTTCAATTTCCATCCATTTGCCTACAAATTTCATGA